ATCTATCTATCTATCTATCTATCTATCTATCTATCTACCATCTATTTTGTCTATCACCTATTTACATATCATCCCTCTAATGCCTGTCATCATCTGTTCTGGATAGTATTATATCATCTTCATATAAAAAAAGTAATTTTGTCTCAAAGGAGGGAACCTTGATTGAGAAAATTCCTCCAAGATATGCTGCTTTAATTTTCATACTTATTGATGGGACACACCCAGCCCATTGTTGGTGGTGCAATCCCTGATCTGTTGGCCATGGGTTGTATGAGAAATCAGGTTGAGTAAGTGATGAGGAACAAGCCAGTAAGCATCACCCATTCATGGTGTCTGCATCAGTCCTTCATCTATCTATGTTCCTGTTCTGTATGAATTCTTGTCCTGAGCTCCTTTGATGAACACCAATATGATAGTTTAAATCAAATAAGCCCTTTCTTCTCAACTTACTTCTTGGTTATGGTATTTCATTGCAGCAATAGGAACCCTAACTAAGAAATTATCTGTCTACCTTTCACCAAATCATTCAGTGTCAATCCTTTCCATTTACTAGTATTTACAAATATATGTGCCCTATAAATAGAAATATAAAAACTAAATTATATAAACTCCTCTTTGATATAGTTGGAGTGATTTATTTTCTTTTCTTAATTGTTAACCAACTTATCTTTAAAAACACTAATTCGTGAGAATGTGTGTTTCACCTGCATGTATGTCTGTGCACCATGTGTATTTCTGGTACTTGTAGATGCCAGAAGAGAGCACTTGATCCCCTAGATTTTAAACTGCAGGTGATTTTAGCAGCTATGTGAGTACTGGGAATTGAACCCAGGTTGTATTGAAGAGTTGCCAGTGCATTTAACCAGTGGTCTATGCTGCAGGAGATTTGGTCATACTGTGAAACCCTGAGACATCGTTAATAAAATCATAATAGGATAGGGGGAAGATCCGGAAAGTACTGATAGGAATTAAGCATAGAGACTATGGAGGTTGAAGATTATGGATAGGGAGATATACAGAAAGGAATATGGAGGGACTTGGAGTTCCCCATTCTCTTTTGGTTTGGGACAGTTGGAAGGAACGTCTCTTGAAGTGTCTTGGACCAAAAAGTAAGGTCACCTGGTTGCTTCTTGGCCTCTGTGAACTAACAGGTTTTCACCCCAACATATGTCTCCTGAGTCTTTATTGGTAAATAGAATGATAGAGACTTAGTTCAAAACAACATTTGGTGTTCAGTGCATGGAGCAACATCATGCCAGACAGAGTGCTGGCTTCTGCTTGTGCTACTCCTTTCCTCACTGACACATATGCCACATGGATAGCTTCTCTCTCACAGTCCTCCTGGAACTGCTCTTCGGGTGTCATTTTTTTAATGCAGCACTCCTGCACCCACTTTCTGAGCCAACAGCATTCAGCATCTGTGTCTCACTGCAGCACCTGCCCAGGCTTCAGCTGCTGCTGCAGCTAGGTGCTCCATCCCTGATACCTCACAGTCATGCTGCTAGAACCATCAGAGCAGGTTTCGTAAAACACCTGTGAAATCCCTAAGGACAGTGTCAAGTTATTTGTGGTAGAGTAGATTGACTTACCGGATGCATGAGGTCTGAGTTCTTAACCACACATATCTACATTTGTTACTCCAAAGACAAAAGGAAAACTGCCTTCTTGAAATAGTTTTCCGTTGCTCTACGGTAGACTCTTAGAAGAGACCAAGAATACTTTTCTTTATATTTCTGCCTTTTAGGAGGGTTTTCCTCAAACAATTTATGTTGGTGCTCAAAATCCCGCCTCTTTTTTTCATTTTTTATTTAAATTAGAAACATACATGTTTCAAATGTCAATCAAAGCTCCCCCCTTCTCCCTCCCAGCTCCACCCCATCACCCACCCCCAGCCCAATCCCCACATCTTTCCCCAGAGGGGTGAGACCCTCCTTGTGGGGATCTCCAGAGTCTGTCACTTCATCCACGGCAGGACCTAGTCCCTTCCCCATGTGTCCAGGCTGAGAGAACATTCCTCCATGTGGAGTGGGCTTCCAAAGTCATTTGTATGCCATGGTGAACACTAACCCATGGCCCCAGTGATTTCTGTGACCTCCTCACTGACACTACATTCATGGAGTTTGGATCAGTCCCATGTTGTCCTCTTAGCCATCAGTCTGGGGTTCAAGATCTCCCCCTTGTCCAGTCAGCTGTCTTTATGGGTTTCATCATCATGGTGTTGACCTCTTTGCTCATCTCTCCTCCATCTCTGTCACTGAGTTCCTGGGGGTCAGTTCCGTGTTTAGCTGTGAGTATCTATCTCTGCTTCCATAAGTCACTGGATGAAGGTTCGAGGATGTTATATAAGGAAGTCATCAACTTTATCATTAAGTAGGGGTTATTAATGTTCTCTCCACTGTTGCTTAGTTTGCCCTTGGTATTATCCTTGTAGATATCTGGAAATCTCACTAGTGTCAGCTCTCTCCTCAAAGCTATAATGACCCTAACTATTATGGTATCTCTCATCCTCGTCTCCTCTATTCTTACCCCGACTCAACCTTCCTGCTCCCCCATGTCTTCTTCTATCCTCCTCTTATCCCCCTGTCTTTATACTGGTTCCCTCTTCTCTCCCCCCATGTTCCTAATATGCTCACGAGATCTTACCTCTTTCTACTTATCTGGGGCATAATGCATATATCTCTTGGGAACCTCCCTGTTCTCGCCTGTCTTTTTACCTTAAATTTCTTTTATTTTTTCCTGGAAGGTTTTTATTTGCAGCCCAGTGTATGGCAGAATTAAATATGAGATCTGTCTCCTTTAGCCTGATCGAAGCTGGGAATACACAAGTACATTACCACCCTTATATTGAACCATTTTTATTTTTGTTTTTAAGGGATAAAACGTTCATGTTAATTATAGTTCCATCACTGTGGGTGAATACAATTGGCCACCTTGTGTCCATAGTTAAAAAAAAGAGCCTAGGGAATGCAAGCTTATTCTCAACTTGTCTTCTTTACTTTAAAATATTTAAGGACATTCTGCTTAGGGAATGGTGATACTCCGTAAATAGTGGCCAGGTATTCTCACAACACTTAAACTACACAGGAAAATCCCCCCCCAGACATGCCCATAGGTCAACTCTCTTATGATGTAGGCAAACTCCCAGACTCTATCATGAAGTGAGTATAGACTGTGGCAACATGACATTTTGAATTAACAATCACCCTAGCAGAAATACCAAGATAACTCTATCATTTACAATTGCCTAAAAATCTGAGAAACAAGTATCACCAATTTGTTTATCTGTAAAAAGCAATCTTGAGAATATACCTGAATACACCTCTATTCATCAGCACACCATGGATATAGTTGGGTGCTCATGTTTACTGATCCACTAGGTAATCAGAGGTGCTGTGAGTTCATTTGTGCAATCGACATGTCATATACAGAGGCCATACTCTCACATGATACCTCCCCATCTTCTAGTTCTTATGTTCCTTTCATTTGGATGACTTTTGGGTTGCTACCTGAGGCTTGGCTACAAGATGGCTGCTTGTCTTTATAGATTGTTCAGGTCACTTGGGCTGAAGTGTCTGAGAAATGACTGAGATTGTCGCTGGAATCCTTCAGATCACAGCCTCCTCTGATCCTCTTGATTTTCTTTTCTTTCTTCTCCTAGATGGTTCTCTCTTCTACTTTGATAGTATATGGATTCTGTCATCCACAGTGCTTTCCCCACCATCCTTATGCTCCCTTCTTCTCTACATCACTTCTGTCTTTACAAGATTCAGGGATCATTATAAAAGATACAGAATTAGTTTTTCTCTCTCACACACACTAAATGTGTGTGTGTGTGTGTGTGTTTGTGTGTGTGTGTGTATGTGGTAAGGACACACAGTACTTTAGGGGCTGACCTGAAATATCTACCTTACATGTATTGAAGTATGTAGTATTTACCTTTCTGAATCTGGTCTTTTGAGATCAACATAATAATTTCCAGTTGCATTCATTGTCTTGTAAATGTTTATTTAATTTTCCTTTATGATTTCATGTGGCGAGCACAAAGTTCCTTGTGCCCAGCAACCATTAAGGAAACCATGCATGGTTATCTTTTCAAATAAACAGACTTTTTAACCTGTTTTTTCCATCCAGAATTCTTGGAATTAGATGTAATAAACAGCATGATGCTCTTTTTTTTTCTGAAGGGTCAAATTAAATAAATCGCCATGAATAGGACCAGAGGTAGCTAATCATCTATATCATCTCTGTGTTATCTGAAAGGCCAGGCAATATCAAGCTCCCACAATGATGCCTGAAGATACTTAAAAGTCTGAATGACTCTTATGATTTTTATAGCACCAGGATCTTCCTCAGGTTCTGATAACCCAGAGCAGAGATGGCTAATAGCCTAAATGAATTCTAAATGATTTTTTTTTGTGATTGAGACTATGCCAGATTCTTCCTTTGGCCCTTAAATTAATACAGGAAGCCTATCTCTAGAGCCTGCATCCTTGGAAGGAATGACATGCACACTGAGTTGGGTTTCAATATAATGATACTTCCTTTTGCACTTGGGAATTGCATGACATTGGGAAACTTCCCCTCCTCCCATTTGTGCTTTGTTTAAAGGTGCTTAAAATCAACTCCGTAGGCTCAAACTCCAGAAGTTTGAACCAGCCTGTCCAACTAAGTCATGCTGAGCTGTGCTTCCTTATTGCTTCTCATAGTTTGTTTCTTTGCAACCCATAGCATTTACAGGGAGACCCATAGCTGGAAACCAATGTGAGGCATTTGCAGGGAGACCCATAGCTGGAAACCAAAGTGAGGCATTTGCAGGGAGACCCATAGCTGGAAACCAAAGTGAGGCATTTGCAGGGAGACCCATAGCTGGAAACCAAATTGAGGCATTTGCAGGGAGACCCATAGCTGGAAACCAATCCCAGAAGCAAAGAAAGGTATATAGAATAGGGAAAGATAAGGAAATCTGTCTAGAAATAATCCAAGCTAAGGCTAAACATTAATAACTATGAATAAGTCTTTGTTTATTTGGGAGTGGGGTGACAGACCCCCAAATAGTAACAAAAAAACAAGCAAATCAGTATATGGGACACAGAAGATGCATTGAGGAAATAGTGCTGTGAGAGATGAGAGGAAGAGCAGGATCTCTGTTGCTCTTTCTAGAAAGCCACGCCTCAGTGGCTCTGTCTTGGGTCATGTACCTTTGTGTAAATGAACAATACACATCTGTGCTCATCTGGTCTTGCTTCCTCAAACTCCTCACATGACTCTGGCTGGCTTCTTCTTTAGGTTGTTTTTCTTTTTGGCAGAGCACCAAGAATACATGAGGAAGATGAAGAAGACAAGCATCATGGTCGCTGCCAGCCCATTCAGAATATTCCAGAGCCCATGATTATCTGGAAGAAGAAGTGGAGCCAATTAAATGTGATTCCCCAGTTTGGTGGATTACCTTACATTTATTTATTCATTTATTTTTTGAGGCAGGGTTTCTCTGTATAACAGCCCTGGTTTTCCTGGAACTTGCTTTGTAGATCAGTCTGGCTCTGAACTCACTCACAGAGATCTTCCTGCCTTTGCCTCCTGAGTGCTTGGATAAAGGGCATGTGCCACCATGTCCAGCTACCCTATATTTATTTATTGGTGGATAATTAATATAATATTTATTTAGGACACAGTTCTCTATGGTGAACCTAATACTATTTTTTCTGCTAAGTGTACACAGTATTAAACAGAGTCTTAAGGAATTATTGTTAGACTCATATATTAATAGATTCTTCAGCTTTCAGGAGAGGAATTCATGTTTATGACAGATGGTTATTAACACAGAAACCCCAAACTGGCCAAGGTACATAGATTAAGAGTATACAATTCTTGGCATGAAATGAGGCATTTGTATCACCCACTCCAAAAACTCAGGGATCATTGTGGAATATATGGAAGAAAAAGATGGCAGAAAGAGGCTATGGATAACAGGGACTTAGTGTATTCTGACCACAGCTAGATAGCTCCGTATATGAACTTCATAAGTGGTTGTGACTGCTTCCTCAACAGATGTGCAAGCTCAAGCCAGACAAAATTCCAGAGAGGTGAGGTGGACATGAAACCCACTCATAGCCAAGGAGCTGTAGCAAATGATAGTTTCTTGGAGGAGTGTTAGTTTTAGCAGTCCTGATACTAGTAAGTTGATTGTGCTCCAACAGAACATCACATATCCACAAATACATGAGCATCAGAAATAAACTTCCTGAATTTAAAAATGAGAACACAAAGTTAGGTGAGTAGGTCCAGGATGGTTTGGGACAGGGGAGGAATATGATCAAAGCATATAACTTGTAACTCACAAAGAAATAATACAAGTAAAGTTAAAAAAATAAGAATCTAGATGGAAGATGACTTTGTCATCTGAATTTTCCCACATGTAATTCCTGGAATAAATATAACATGTGCCACACCAAGGTCACACTGAGTTCCAAAACCTATGATCCACAACCTGTCCTGCTTGTAAGAGTCGCTGGAGCAATGGTGGCTTCAGATCTTATGAAAGTGACAAACAAATGATTGGTCTAACTTGAGGCCCAAGCCTGACAAGGTTCGGAAGGCAGGCTCTGGAAGTTGGATAACTCAGAGACCCAGGGTATAACTAAACATAGCAGATAAAAACATGAATAAAACAATTCCTAATGATACTTTGCTTTACTGAGACCTATCCCAATTATCATCAGGGCCTTCTTCCAGCAGTTAATGGGAGCTGATACAGCCAAACTTTATGTGGAGCTCAGGGAACCGGGCAGATGATGGGGAGCAAGTGAACACAGTCCACAGAATCAAATGAGCAGGGCTCATAGGGGCTCCCAGAGACTGAAGTGACCCCCCAGAAACCTGCATAGATCTGAGCTAGTCTGTCTGCATAATGCTGTTGTTATTTAGCTTGGGCTTTTGTTGGTTTTCTGACAATGAGAGTATCTTCATCTCTGACTCTTTTGCCTGCTGGTGGGACCGTTTTACTCGTATTGGTTTGCCTCCTCAAGGCCTGATAAAATAATTTTGGCCCGGTCTTATTGTACCTTTTCAAGCCTTGACCAGTGGACATCACTGGGAAGTCAGCCGTTCTCTGATAGGAAATACAGCAGCAGTGGATTTTGGAGAGGTGGCAATGCCATTGTCTTGGAGGACAATATGGAGGGGAGGTTGCTGTCAGGATGTATGAGAAAGAAGTAAGTTAAAAGCAAAAATATATAAGATGTGCCACGAATGCCATTAATGGTGGAGAGGAAGATCCTACCACAATATCCTGTGCTCTGTTACTATTTGTATTAGAAAATGCCTTATGCTTTAGCTAAGTGCTCCTATGTCCTCAGCATATGAAGTTCAGACTGATTTGTCCTTCAGATCCTGTGGGTGGCTGTTCAGGGAAGAAGGGCAGGTTTGGATACAACCCCACTTTCATCCTGAGGCTTCATAAATCTGGAAGATTGGAACACCACAAATCCTGTTTTTATCTCTTATAACTTACATGTAACTAATTGTCAGTTCATGTGACATTTGCACATGAGTATTTCACATTATTAGCCTTATGCTATTGGCAGAGCACTGCAGGACACATAGTTCTGGTCATGTGATCAGCATCTTAACCTGAGATTGACACCAGTGCTCAGTTAATCTGCTTTGCAACTTCTATCTCTACAACACCTTTTAACCAAGCAGCAAATCCTCCCAAAGGGAAAAATTGAAGTCATGCCCATTACCTTAAAGATAGTTTCTCTAAAATTTTCCCTTCTGCTATTCTTCCTATTTCAGGCCTCACCACCCCTCTTCAGGAGGAACAGAGCTAGAATTAGCAGCTGAATTTTCCTTGGAAGGGAGGCAAGTTTCTGATCTTGATAGCTTGCAGGGGTCGTAGGTACAGAAATTAGAGATGAATCATCCCTGTAGGTCCCATGCTTACCTTACAAATCTTCTGATGTTGCAGATTCTGAGAAGCAAAGGGAAATGATGACACTGAGACTACAGAGGTGTGATGCAGCTGACACAACATACTAACCCACGAGTTTTTCCATTATTTTTATTACATTTTTTAGAAAAAGGCTTGCTTCACATGTCAATCCCAGCCCCCTCTCCTTCCCCTCCTCCCACACTCCTCACTATCCACCCAGCCTCCCACACTATCCCTACTCCCTTCCACATAGGGTATATCCAGAGTCTGTCATTTTGCTCAGGGCAGGGTCCAGGTACTTCCCTAAGAGTCCAGGCTGAGACAGCATCCCTCTTTGTGTTATGGACACATGAAATCCATTTGTATGCCAGGGATAAATACTGATATACTGTTCAGGGCCCCATAGGTTGCCCAGACCTCTTAACTGACTCCCACATTCAGGGGGTCTGGATCAGTTCCATGCTGGCCTCCCAGCTGTTGGTTTGGGGTTCAAGAGCTCTCCCTTGTTCATGTCAGCTGTTTCTGCTGGTTTCACCAGCCCATTCTTTACTCCTTTGTTCATCACTCCTCCCTCTAGGTCACTGGGCTCCAGGGGTTCAGTGTTTAGCTATGAGTGTTCGCCTCTGCTTCCATCAGTCACTGGATGAAGGTTCTAGGGTGGCATATAAGGTAGTCGTCAAACTCATTATCAGGCATGGGCATTTAAGGTAGTCTCTCCATTATTACTTAGTTTGCTAGTTGGTGTCATAATTGTAGATCGCTAGAGATCTCACTGGTGCAAGACCTTCCTTCAAACCTATAATGACTCCCTCTATTATGGTATTTCCCATCCTGTTCTTCCCCTATGCTATCCCCAACTCAACCTTCCTGTTCCCCCATGACCTACTCTCTCTTCCTCTTCTCCCCCCTCTTCTTTCAAGGTCAAGAGGGAACAGGAAGGTTGAGTGGGGGGTAGGATAGGGGGAGAACAGGATGAGAAATACCATAATAGGTTAGAAGAGAGATCTGGCACCAGTGAGACATATAGTGATCTAAAAGGATGACACCAACCTGCAAGCTAAGCAATAGTGGAGAGACTACCTTAAATGCCCATTCCTGATAATGAGTTTTACGACTACCTTATATGCCATCCTAGAACCTTCATCCAGTGACTGATGGAAGCAGAGGCAAACTTGTGCAGATAAACACTAAACTGAACCCATGGAACCCAGTGACAGAGAGAGAGAGAGGAGTGATGAGCAAATTGGCAAAGAATGGGCTGGGCAAACCAGCAGAGACAGCTGATCTGAACAAGGGAGAGCTCTTGGACCCCAGACCGACAGCTGGGAGGCCAGCATGGGACTGATCCAGACCCCCTGAGTGTGGGAGTCAGTGAGGAGGCCTGGGAAACCTATGGGGCCCTGGGCAGTGGATCAGTGTTTATCCATGGCATACAAAGGAACATCATGTGTCCATAACACAAAGAGGGATGCTCGCTCAGCCTGGACTCTTAGGGGAGTGCCTGGACCCTGCCCTGAATGAAATGACAGACTCTAGATATCCCCTATGTGGAAGGAAGTGGGGATAGGGTGGGAGGCTGGGTGGTAGTGGTGGGGCTGCGGGAGGAGGGGAGAGAGAATTAACTGGGATTGATATGTGAAGCAAGCTATTTAAATTAAAGTAATAAAATAAAAAAGAGATGACTACTTCTATGTGTGTGTTCAGGGATATGTAGTATGAAAGTACTCTGGTAAATAGAGCTGGGGAAGGGACTCTTTCTCTTTGGGTTTTGGTTTCAACCTGGAGAGCAGCATGTGTACCAGCTTTCTTGCCTTTTCACTTAAGTGATTTCTCTTTCAATAAATATCATAGAACACCCCTAAATTTGTGTAGTTTAATATTTCTGCTTCAGTTTCCATCATCCCATTCCCTAATGTTCTGCTCCATTCCCCTCTCCCTCTCCTCTCCAATCTCCACATCTTTCCCACCCCGAATGGTCCCAATCAATTTTCTCAGGAGAGCTGGTCTATTTCAGCTTCTCAAGAGGGTCCATGTAGGTCTCTCTTAGGGTTCTCCTTGTTACCCAGCTTCTCTGTGGTCATGGACTTTAGGATGGTTATCCTTTCCTTTATGTCTGACATCCTCTTATGAGTGAGTGAATACCATGTTTGTCTTTCTGGGTCTGGGTTACCTCACTCAGGATGGCTTCTTTTAGTTCCACCCATTTGCCGGCAAATTCTAAAATGTCATAGTATTTTACTGCTGAGTAGTACTCCATTGTGTAGATGTACCACATTTTTTATCCATTCTTTGGTTATGGGAATCTATGTTGTTTCCAGGTCTGGTTACTACAAATAATGCTGCTGTGAACATAGTTAAGCAAGTGACAATGTTGTATGAGTTTGCATCCATTGGGTATATGCCCAAGAATGATATTGCTGGCTCTTGAGGTAGATTGATTTCCAGGTTTCTGAGAAACCACCATATTAGTTTCAAAAGTGACTGTAAAATTTTGCATTCCCACCAGCAATAGAGGAGTGTTCCCCTTTTTCCCCATACTCTCCTTTATAAGCTATCATAGGTGTCTTTTATCTTAGCTATTGTGAATGGTGTAATATGGTATCTCAGAGTCATTTTGATTTGCATTTTCCTGATGGCTACAGATGTCAAGCAATTCCTTAAATTGCTTTGGTCATTTGAGATTCTTCTGTTGAGAAGTCTCTGTTTAAATATGAACCCCTTAATTTAAAAGGATTATTTGGTATTTTGATGTCTAGTTTCTTAAGTTCTTTAGGCATTTTGGTATCTATCTGATATAAGGTTGGTGAAGATATTTTCCTACTCTGTAGGCTGCCATTTTATCATACTGACTGTGTCTTTGCCTTACAGAAGCTTCTCAGTTTCAGGAAGTCCCATTTATTCATTGTTGCTCTAAGTGTCTGTGCTGCTGGTGATATTTACGAAGTGATCTCCTGTGCCAATGTGCTTAAGAGTATGCCCCACTTTCTCTTCTATGAGGTTCAGTGTGGCTGGATTGATGTTGAAGTCTTTAATCCATTTGGCCTTACATTTTTGTGCTTAAGGATATATATGGGCCTATTTGCATTCTTCTACATAACATTATCCAGTTAAGCCAGCACCATTTGCCAAAGATGCTTTCTTTCTTCTATTGTATAATTTTAGCTTCTTTGTCAAAAATCCAGTGTTCATAGGTGTGTGGATTAATTTCAGGGTCTTCAATTCAATTCCATTGGTCTAAACTATTTTCATGAATATAGCTCTATAGTAGAGCTTTAAAACAGGAATGGTGGTGTCACCCAACATTCCTTTATTGTACAGGATTGTTTTGTCTATGCTGGGTTTTTTGTTTTTGTTGTTTCTCCATATCAAGTTGAGTATTGTTATTTCAAGTGGACACCGAATTTTTTCACAGTATATGTTTTATTTAAATTAGAAATGTGAATGTTTCACATGTCAGTCCCAGCTCCCTCTTCCACCCCTCCTCCCTGGTCCCTCCACCAGTTCCCCAGTTCTCCAGCCCCACACCCAATCCCCACATCATTCCCCAGGGAGGGTGAGGCCCTCCTTGGGTAGATCTCTAAAGTCTGTCATTTCATCCAGAGCAGGACCTAGGCCCTTCCCCATGTATCCAGGCTGAGAGAGCATCCCTCTATTTGGAATGGATTCCCAAAGCTCATCCATAAACCATGGTAAACACTGATCTACTACCCAAGGATCCAGTGATTTATGTGGCCTCCTCCCTGGCACTGCATTCATGGAGTCTGGATCAGTCCCCTATTGGCCTCTCAGCCATTAGTCTGGGATTCAAGAGCTTCCCCTTATCTGGTCAGCTACCTTTGTAGGTTTCATTATCATGGTCTTGACCCCTTTGCTCATCACTCCTCCATCTCTGTCACTAGGATCCAGGAGTTCAGTTCAGTGTTTAGCTGTGGGTATCTGTCTCTGCTTCCATCAGTCCCTGGATGAAGGTTCTAAGATGGCATGTAGGGTAGTCATTAACCCTATCATCAAGGAGGACTATCAGTGTAGTCTCAACACTATTGTTTAGTTTGCCAGTTGGTGTTATCCTTGTAGATCTCTGGAGATCTCACTAGTGTCAGCTCTCTCCTCAAGCCTAAAATGACTCGAACTATTATGGTATCTCTCATCCTGCTCTCCTCTGTTCTTACCTCGACTCAACCTTCCTGCTCCCCCATGCCTTCTTCTCCCCTCCTCTTCTCCCCCTCTCTTTTTCTTGTTTCCATCTCCCATTCCCCTATGTTCCCAATCTGCTCAGGATATCTTGCCTCATTCCACTTCTCTGGGGTATCATGCATCTCTCCTGGGAACCTCCTTGTTTCCCAGACTCACTGGCACTGGGATTGTAGGGTGACACTCCCCTGATCCATAAATGAGTGAGTACATACCATGTTTGTCTTTTTGTGACTGGATTTCCTCATTCAGGATGGTTTCCTCTATTGCCATCTATTTGCCTGCAAATTTCAAGATTCTATTGCTTTTATCCACTGAGTAGTACTCCATTGTGTAAATGTACCACATTTTCTCTATATTTTTATTTGTGGGGCATCTAGGTTGCTTCCAGGATCTAGCTATTACAAATAATGCTACTATGAACACAGTGGAACAGACATCATTGTTGTGTGAATGGGCATCTTTTGTGTATATGCCTAAGAGTGGAATTGCTGGGTCTTGTGGTAGACTGAGTCCCATTTTCCTGAGGAATTTCCATACTGATTTCCGTAGTGGCTGTACAAGTTGGCACTCCCACCAGCAGTGGAGGAGTGTTCCCCTTTCTCCACATCCTCTCCAGCACAAACTGTCATTGGTGTTTTTGATTTTTGCCTGTCTGACAGGAGTAATATGATATCTCAGAGTTGTTTTGATTTGCATTTCCCTAATGGCTAGTGATGTTGAGCACTTTCTCAAGTGGACACCCAGGACACCAAATTTTTAATAAAGCCAAATGTATGTGGAAATGAGAAAGCTACTTCAACAAATGTTGCTGGATGTCTCCATGTAGAAGAATGTAAAATAGAACCATATTTTTGCCTTGCACAACCTGAAGTCTGAGTGGATCAAAGACCTCAATATAAACCCTAATACAATGAACCTGATGAAAGAGAGGAAAAGTTGCCTTGAGTTCATTTGTACAGTAGATGACTTCCTGAACAGAACAGAACATTTATGAGAGAGATATATTGATCAACAATTAATAAATGGACACATGGGACTTCCTGGGGAGGGGAAATAAAATAGATTTTGTGGATGGTTGGGGGTAGCTTAGAACAGGAGCAGGAGGGATGGATCATTCATCATCAGAGAGGCTTCTTCCAGCAGAACATGGGAACTGGTGCAGAGACCCACAGTCAGACATTTTGCAGAAAGGGATCTAAATTGAAGGTCTCCATTATGTCCTTCATATTGCAGCTCAGGGAACACTGAAGAAGAGGGTAAGAAAGATTGAATGATTCAGAGGTGATAGAGGACACCAGGAGAATACAGCCCACTTCATCATCTAAGCAGGACTCTTTGGAGATGAAGAGACTGAAGCATTTTGATCTTGGGGCCCACATGGGTCTGTATCAGGTCCTCTGCACATATGTTATGTTTGTTAGCTTGGTGTATTTGTGCGGCTCCTAACATTAGAAGCAACTTTGTCTGTGACTCCTTTGCCTGCTCTTGGGACTCTTTTCTCCTATGGAGTTGCCTTATCCAGCCTTGATATGACAGCTTTTGCCTTCTGTTATTCTATCTTGTTTTATCATGTTTGGTTGTTAACTCCTGTAGGCCTGCTTTTATTCTGAAGGGAAACAGAGGAAGAATGCATCTGGAGAAATGGGAATTGGAAGGGAAGGAAAAGTCTAAGGGAGAGTGGAAACAGTTATAAGGATGTATTTTATAAGAGAATAATTCATTTTCAAATAAAAATAAAAACAAACAGGAAAACTCAGAACAACCAGATTCTACCTGTGCAGACCTGAGGCCCAGAGGAGGTAAATGCCAGGCATTTCAGGAACCCATTGCTGCCAGGCAAGCCACCTTCTCCTTCACTTCTGGTCCACAGCCATCCCCTTCTGGATCAGCCTGAACTTACTGCTCATCCAGAGTACTGGAGGTGCCCTGCTGGCAGTGATCCACACCCCTGGCAAGGGGGAAGAGCTATGTTGTCCCAGGCTGCCCCAGAGAAGCACAACCAGGGCAGGTCACCACGGGTTCACTCCCTGGACCTCCACTGGGTTCCTGGAAGGCAGGAGCTGGCACTGAGTCAGAGTCCAACCCTCCTCCCCAGCTGCCCTGTCCACCTTGCCAGGAAAGGCAGAAGATGCCAGTGAAGGAAAAAAGAAAAGCCCATGGAGTGGCAGGAGCTGTCACAGAATGTGGGGGGCTTAAAAAAGTATCAAATCTCCAGCTATTGCAGATCCCAGCCTTCTTCTAGACTAGTAGTGGAAGGGAGATTCTTTAAGAAAAACGTGCCTGGCTTGGTTTTATGAATATGCAGGTCTTAGTGAGACTGTGGGGCCAGAAGGAATGGAAGAATTTTGTGAAGACATTGGTGGTGAATCTGCAAATATTAAGTAAGTTTTATCGTGGAAAGTGGAGGCTAATAGCATGGGACTTTTTTTACCAAGGAAGAATGGTTAAAGGGAATGACCTCATTGTAGTGTGACTGCACAGAAGTTACAGAGCAGATTTCATTCTCTGGGCTCAGAGATGAATGCCATGCCATCATTTAAGAATATCTTCAGATATACCATTGATGTTGCAAGGGATAAAGAACAGAGAAGCCTAGATGACACCACTAAGTCTATGTTAGCTCCTGTCATTGGTGGTCATTGGAGGAGAACGGCCTAAAACAACAGTCATCATAGATGAGGACGATGCATATGGAACTTACTGCACTCGCAATCAGCATCTACACAAGGACCAGGGGAAGGCGTTGACATTCCTATGTCTGTAGGATGTTGGCACTGGTGACAGCTCTGTGTTGATGTAAACAATGCAATACACTCACATTCCAAAGTAGGATGTCCACAGGGTAGCAAGGAAGAATGAAGAGGAAAGCAATCTTGTGCAGAGAAATAAGAAATGAAGAATGGCACTACATGGAACTGTCCTACAGGATATACAGGAGACAGAAACAGGGAACTACTACTAAGGGTATCTCTCCTACAAACACCACACAAAGAATTCTGAAATTCTAGTCACATCGCAGGTATAATACCACATCAGCTGACACTGAATACTCAGCAGAGAATTCACATCGCCTCTTAGACTCTTGATTGCCAACATTTTGTTGACGTGTAGAAGGGAGCAGCTAGGTGCTCATCTTAGGGCTCTCTGAAGGCCCCATGGGCTCTCTTCTGCTCTTCCAAGCATCCAGCAATAGAGCCCCAAGGGTTAACACAATGATGACAGCCATAATGAGCCGGACGCTATTCACTAATCTGTAATTTGAAGGAGAAGTCTCTGTGGAGGAAAGCAAAAGCAAAATTGAAAGATTCTATAACAACAAATATCAACTTTATTTTGTGCTGGTTTCTCTTAAATCACTTCTTGTAGTGATATATTATTTATGATTTCTTAAAGCTTGCCAAAGTTGCTGGGCATTGGTGGCACAGCCTTTAATCCCAATACTTGGGAGGCAGAGGCAGGCAGATCTCTGTGAGTTCGAGGCTATCCTCTTCTACAAGAGCTAGTTCCAGGACAAGACAGCCTCCAAAGCAATACAGAGAAACCCTGTCAAAAAGAAAAGAAAGGAAAAGAAAAAGGAAGCTTGCCAGAATATTCAGAAGGCAAAGCCAACCTCAAGCTAGAGACAAGTTGGTGGTACACACCTTCAATCCCACCACTTGGGAGGCAGAGACAGACTGACTTCTATCAGTTTAAGGCCACACTGAGGTACATGAGATATACCCAGTCCTTAAGAGAAACTGCTCACACAAAGATGGTCTTAGCATTTGGGATCACACACCTTTAATCCCAGGATTCTTGAGAGGTATTTAAGACAGGGTCTCAGAGCTGGCATTCATTCTCCAGCCACATTGAGGATAGGAAGACTCAGTCTGAGGATTCTCTAGGCATGTTGAGGAGAGCATAGCTGTTTGGGATTTCAGTCTGTGGTTTGGTGGAGGCAGGATCACCTTTCAGCCTGAGCTAGAGATAAGAGCTAGTAGCTAGATGCTTTGCTTTTCTGATCTTCAGCTTGAATCTTAAAACCCCAAGATTAGTCTCTGGGTCTTCTATTTATTGTGCTGCTATTGGAGCCCAACCTTCAAGTAGGAATTCACCAGAAAAAGCCTCTCCACCAGGCCAGACCCAAGGCTGAGCTGCAGGCTGGGACTCCTGCCTGAGTCCCTGCATGACCAGCTGGGTTTTCGTTTGCTTCCTCCTCAATTCTTTGAGCAAGTGTGGGATTTTTTCAGTTGTAACTTTTCTAAACTGTCTTCAGATGCTACCAAAACTCAGCAGGCTTTTGTCCTTTTCCTACAGCCCCTCCCTCAGGCTGACACTCTCAGCTCACAGTCACAAGGTAGGTCTCAGATTCAGACATGCTACAACAATTCACTGACACTATCAACAGACTTCAAAAGTCAATGGAAAATTCTTAAAGGAAGAAACTAGTTAAAAGGGAGAGTTTTGTGGGTTTCTCTAGAATCATTTTGACCCCTTTGCTCATCACTCCTCCCTCTCCACAACTGTTCCATGAGTTTGGCTCAGTGCTTGGTTGTGAATCTCTCCTTCTGCTTCCATTAGCTACTGGATACAGGCTGGCTTGAATGGTGTGTTTAAGGTAGGCATCAATCTCATTATAGGGGAAGGATATTTGAGGTAGCCTCTCCTCTATTGATTCGATTCTTATTTGGGGTCATCCTTGTGGATCTCTGGACATTTCTCCAGTGTCAGATTTCTCTTTAAGCCTATAATGTCTCCCTCTATTAAGTTATCCATTTTCTTGCTCACAGAACACAGTTTAACAGCTGGGGAAACCACCATAGGACTGATCCAGACCCCCTAAGCATGGGTGTCAGTTAGGAGGCCTGGGAAGTCTATGGGGCTTTTGGCAGTGAAACCAGTATTTATCCCTACAGCAGGAATGGGCTTTGAGAGCCCATTAACTATGGAGGGATACTCCCTCAGCCTATATACAGGAGACAGGGCCTAGGTCTGCCCCAAATGATGTGCCAGATTTTGATGATCCCTCATGCAAGGCCCTATCCATACTGGGGAATGGATGGGGGCTACGATGGCAGTTGTTGATGGGGACCAAGGGATGATAGGAGGGAGAGGGAGCTGGAATTGGTATAAAATTTTTAAGTTGCATAAATATTCATTTTAAAACAGAGAGTTTACCCCTACACACTAAAATAATGGAAAACACTATCAAACAGGAGAAAAGTATGTCTATTTGTGATTACAAATGGATGGTTTAAAATGGAAAAATTAAATGAAGGGATAATCACCTGAGATTGACATACTGTTAATTATAGTTTTCATAATCTTTGTTGTTGGTTTGATAATTCTTGATTTATTTCAAAAAAGTTAATTCATATGAATGCTATAATGCAGGTCTTTGAGAGACTTATTGCAGCTGATTATAGAGATACTCAAACCCTAACTGAGAAAACAATTGGAGAAACAAACTCCGCATTACATTTTAAGGTTAAAAAGGAACACTCTAAGGTCTTAAGAGAATAATCTTTAATGTATCCAGTAAACTTACAATCAGTACAAAAATGTTTAATGTGAACTTTCTGTGGGATGTATGGATATATAATATTGGGTAGAAACACAATAAGGTAGCTGGGTGAAAGGTGAATTTTGCATGACAGAAAGGATACAACATTTGAAAAATGTTTTCAGGACACAAAAAAGTGGTTTGATGATGATCCATGTGAGAACTGACAGCGAAAGAAGATCCTGAAGAGTTCTTGTTCAAAGGGGACACATGGACTCTCTGTCAATACAAGGACAGGTGTGAGGAGGATGCATGGATGCTTTCCAGCTGGGGGATCTTTTGAGATGTGTGTTAAATGTCTGCAAAGATAAGTTTCAAATATCCCTTTGGATATATGGTTCTGAAGATCATAGTGTATTTCTTGGCTGAAGCAATAAAATTTAAATCAATCAGCAAATGTTGCATAGAAATGGACACCTGGTTTGTGTAGTCCCCAACAACAACCCTGTATGACATCTGCTCACACAAAAAGTAACCATGTGCCACACCCTTCACTATTCTACATGAGATTTCTTACTCATGCCTTCTAATGTCCATCTTTCCATCTTTAACCTGTGTGTACTTGATGTTCTCTATCCCACGCTTTCTATCTCAAGGATGTTCCCAAGTTGAACTTCCATGGCCCTGCCCACCTTGTTCCCCAAACCTGTAACATGTCCAATCTCTTAAAACCCCAAGACATCCAAAATGACCAGAGGTTCTAAGATATAAGGAAATAAGTCTCCTCCATTAAAAAATCTGGCACCGCAGTTTCTAAGTTGTCTTCTGTTAATGTTTCCTATATTCTTCAGTGGACTGTTCAGAGGTGGCACTATGGTGGGACAGGTAAATGTCATACACATCCCACATTAAGGAAACTTTATTATGCAACAGACAAGGACCATTACACATTACATTTCATATACCACTAAAAACACAACAAACCAAAATGCAGAGTTGTGGAGCTCACTCACGATGGATACAGATACAAAACAAATCCTACATTGTGAAAAAGAGGGAGGAAAGATTGAAGGAGTCAAAAGATCAGGGAATTTGTTATGGGACTGTGTCTCCTACAAACGTCAGTAGTAACACCCATAAAGTTTTACCAATATGACTGCCTAAACATAAGCTGAAAAGGGACAACAAAATAGACATGCCAAAGTAGATGGGAGAAAGCCCATGAGCTCTCAACCCAACATAAGTAATTACAGAGAATTAGGAATTTCCCACAGAGAGTGGGAGAAACAGTATTCTCCAGAGAACACAACACCAACTGGTTATCCAACATAAAATGGTCAGCTCTGGAAACACACAATAACAAAATATAGAATAAGTAGGTTTTATTAGAAACATACATGTTCAATTCTGAACATCCATGCCCCAAATACAAAGGCATCCGTGTTTGTAAAAGAAACATTACTAAAACTCAAATCACATATAAAGCCCCACACACTTGTAGTGGGAGAGTTCAACACCCCACAATCAACACTAGGCAGGAACACCAGACAGACACTTGACAAAGAAGCAAAGGGACTAGTAGAAATTATGACCCAATTGGGATTAACAGACATTTACCGAACATTCTATACAAAAATTAATAAATCTTCTTCTCAGCGCCACATGGAACCTTCACAAAAATTGACCTCATATTTGGCAACATATCAAACCCCAACAGGTACAAAAAATTGGAATAACTCCATGCATCTAATCAGACCACCATTCGCTAAAATTAGAATTCAATAACAACACAAATTGCAGAAACCTACAAACTCATGGAAACTGGAGTATGCATAATTGCACCATTCCTGGATCAAAGAAGAAATAAAAAAGAAATTAAAGACTTCCTAGAATTCAATGAGAATGAAGACACAACATACCCAAACTTGTGGGACACATTGAAAGCAGTGCTACAAGGGAAGTTCATAGCACTAAGTGCCCAAATGAAAAAACTGGAGAATAGTTACATTAGAGAATTAACAGCACAGCTGAAAGCTCTAGAACACAAAGACACAAACTCACCAAGGAGGAGTAGATGTCAGGAAATAATCAAAATGAGGGTTGAAATCAATAAAGTAGAAACTAGGACAACAATACAAAGAATCAATGCAACAAAGAGTTGGTTCTTTTAGAAAATCAACAAGATACACAAACCTTTATCCAAACTCATGAAATGGCAGAATGTGAAAATGCAATTAACAAAAGCAGAAATGAAAAGGGGGATATAACAATGGACTCTGAGGAAATCCAGAGAATCATCAGGTCACAAAATTCGAAAATTTAAAGGAAATGGACAACTTTCTGGATAGCTATCACTTGCTAAATTTAAATCAAGAAAGATAAGCAATTTAAATAGATCTATAACCCCTATGGAAATAAAAGCAGTCATCAAAAGTCTCCCAACCAAAAACAGCCCAGGTCCAGATGGCCTCAGTGCATAATTCTACCAGAAATTCAAAGAACAGCTTATACCAATTCTTCGCAAAGTATTCCATGAAATAGAAGCAGAAGGGTCTTTGCCGAACTCTTTCTACAAGGCTTCAATAACATTGATCTCCAAGCCACACAAAGACACAACTAAGAAAGAGAACTTCAGACCAATATCTCTCATGAACATTAATGCAAAAATACTCAATAAAATACTGACAAATTGTATCCAAGAACACATCAAAACAATCATTCATCACGATCAAGTAGATTTCATACCAGGGATGCATGGATGGTTCAACATACGAAAAATCCATAAATGTAATAAACCATATAAACAAGTTGAGAAACAAAAATCACATGATCATCTCACTAGATGCAGAAAAAGCCTTTTACAAAATCCAACACCCCTTCATGATAAATGTCTTGGAGAGATCTGGGACAACAGGAACATACCTAAACATAATAAAATCTATACACACCAAACCAATAGCCAGCATCAGACTAAATGGACAGAAACTCAAAGCAATTCCTCTAAAATCAGGAACAAGACAAGGCTGTCCACTCTCTCCATACCTCTTCAAAATAGTACTTGAAGTTCTAGCCAGAGCCATATGACAACAAAAGGAGGTCAAGGGGATACAATTTGGAAAGGATAAGGTCAAACTTTCAATATTTGTGGATGATAGTTTACATAAGTGATCCAAAAAACTCTACCAGGGAACTCCTACAGCTGATAAATACTTTCAGCAATGTGGCTGGATACAAGATGCACTCAAGAAAATCAGTACCCCTACTATATACAGACGATAATAGGACTGAGAATAAAACGAGAGAAGCATGACCCTTTACAAATGCCACAAACAATATAAAATACCTTGGGGTAATGCTATCCAAACAAGCGAAAGACCTGTATAGCAAGAACTTTGAGTCTATAAAGAGAGAAATTGAAGAAGACTTCAGAAAATGGAAAGATCTCCCATGTTCTAGGATAGGTAGGATCAACGTAGTAAAAATGGCAATCCTGCCAAAAGCAATCTACAGATTCAATGCAATCCCCATTAAAATACAAGTACAATTCTTCACAGACCTTGAAAGAACAAAAATCAACTTTGTATGAAAAAACAAAAGATCCAGGATTGCCAAGAGAACCTCACTCAACAAAGCAACATCTGGAGGCATCACCATCCATGACTTCACACTCTATCATAGAGCTGTAGTCCTGAAAACAGCTTGGTATTGGCACAAAATAGACAGGTAGACCGATGGAATTGAATTGAACATCCTGATATTAAGCCATACCTGTATGAATATCTGATCTTACACAAAGAAGCTAAAAATATACAATGGAAAAAGAAAGCATCTTTAACAAATGGTGCATAACTGGTTGCTGGCATGTAGAAGAATGTGGATAGATCCATGTCTATTGCCATGAACAAAACTTAAATCCAAATGGATCAAAGACCTCAACATAAATCCAGCCACTGAACCTCTTGGAAGAGAAAGTGGGTGGTACCCTTGAACGAATTGGTATGGGAGACAGCTTCCTGAACATAACACCAGTAGCACAGACAGTGAGATCAACAATTAATAAATGGGATCTACTGAAACTGAGAAGCTTCTGTAAGCCAAAGGACACAGTAAACAAGACAGAAAGGCAGCCTATAGAATGGGAAAAGATCTTCACTACCCCCACATCTGACAGAGAGCTAATCTCCAAAATTTACAAAGAACTCAAGAAGCAAGTCTCCAAAACACCAAAGGAGCTAATTAAAAAGTTGGCTACAGAACTAAATAGAGAATTCTCAATAGAGGAGTCTAAAATGACTGAGAGGCACTTGAGAAAGTTCTCAACATCCCTAGCCCTCTGGGAAATGCAAATCAAATCAACTCTGAGATACCATCTTACTCGTGTCAGAACGGCTAAAATAAAATCACCAGTGACAATTTATGCTGGAGAGGTTGTGGTGAAAGCGGAACACTCCTCCACTCCTGGTGGATGTGCCAACTTGTACCACCACTATGGAAATCAGTATGGAGATTCCTCAGAAAACTGGGAATACACCTACCACAAGACCCAGCAACACAACTCTTAGGCATATATCCAAAAGATGCCCATTCATACAACAAGTATGTCTGTTCCACTATGTTCATAGCAGCATTATTTGTAATAGCCAAAACATGGAAGCAAGCTAGATGGCCCACAGCTGAAGAGAAAATGTGCTACATTATACAATGGAGTACTATTCAGCAGAGAACAATGGAATCCTGAAATTTGCAGGCAAATGCATGGCACTAGTAGAAACTATCCTGAGTGAGGTAACCCAGTCACAAAAAGACAAACATTGTATGTACTCTCTCCTATATGGACTTTAGAAATATATATGGCGAGTGCCAGACTACAATCCCATGGCCAGAGAGTCTGGGAAACAGAACCTTCATCCAATGACTGATGGAAACAGAGCCCACTGCTAAATACTGAGCTGAACTCAAGGAATCCAGGGACAGAGAGGGAGGACTAATGAGCAAAAGGGTTAAGACTGGGCTTGTTTAACCCCCAGAAGTAGCTGACCTGAACAAGGGGTAGCTCTTGAGTACCAGACTGATGACTGGGAATTCAGAATGGGACTGTTCAGGACCCCCTGAATGTGGGTGTCAGTGAGGAGTCCTAGGCAATTTATGGGGCCTTGGGTAGTTGATCAGTATTTATCCCTGGCATACAAATGGACTTTGGGTGCCCATCCCCCAATGATAGATGCACTCTCACCCTGGGCTCTTGTGGGAGGGTCTAGGCCCTTCCCTGGATCAAATAACAACTATGGACACCCCCATGGAAGGCCCTGGAGGAAGGAGGGGGAATTGGGTGTGTGTAGTGGCAGGGTGTGGGAGGAGGGGAGTTAAAGGGACCTGGGATTGACATGTGAAGCAACCTTGATTCTAATTTAAATTTAAAAATAAGAAAATAAAATATCATAGGACAACCCTAAAAAATAAAAAGAAACATTCATGTATATACATATACATACATGCATATGTATATCCATGTACATGCATATAAGAACAATTAAAATGAAAAGAATCCATGAATATTAAGGAGAGCAAGGAGGTGTACATGGGAGGGTTTAGGGAGAGGCAAAGGAGGGTAGAGATGGCATGTTGTATCATAATATAAAAGGCAATGAGAAAGCTTGATGATCTCGTAAGACCTGAAAAATGATGGTCAAAAAAATCAGATCAATGGAGAAACTAGAAGATATTCTTTCAATTTTCCATCACCATTGATAAGTGATGTACTTGTCTCACACACAACTCAGAAAAGAATATTGGAGGATAGCAGTCACCAGATAAGTGTTATACCATTTTTGACAATGGTTCCCATTATGGATAGGTGAATACTTCTATTCTCCAGATAAATACACTTGCAACTGCCTCTAAAATAATAAAATTGATGCATAAAATTCAGAGTCCTTAATGGAAATGGAGCAAATACAGTCATAATAGCAGTCCCATGTGTAACACATAGCACACAGGAGACTACTAGTGGTATAGATATATGTCACATAGCATCTTTTGAGGCCTCTCTAAGCAGAGATAAGGAAAAAGAACCAGACATACTTACCCGGGATTGACAACTCAAGGGGATCACTAGACAGGGACCACAAGTAGGAATTGCTTTTGTAAGAGCCAAAGCATCTGTAGGTCCTCCTGTTCCCTGGGCTCACAGGGGAGATGAGGAATGCACTGTGGGACTGATGTGAGCAGTTCTGGGGTAAGGAAGCATTTCCACCTCTGCAGAGGATGAAGATCTCAAAGGAATGAGGTGTGTGACAGAGGAGAGTCACATTTCTTTCTGAGAATCCCTGAGGTCCTGTATCTACAGTAAGGGATGGTTTCTCCTTGTAAACACCTGGAAGTAAAAGACCCTGCTATTAGTTGGTCATGGTGACACATGGCTTTAATTCTAGCACTCAGGAAACAGAGGCAGATTGATCTTTGTAAGATTAAAAACAACCTGCTCTATATCCAGCTTTCAAAGGCAGACAGAGTTACATGATGAGACCCTGTTTCAAAAGAACTACAAAAAGACTCCTATATTTATTATTTAAGGTCTCTATTGCAGTGATGGAATACCATGACCAAAAACCGAGTTAGGGAGGGAAGGGTTTATTGGCTTATGATTCAAAATTGCTATTCATTACTGAAGAAGTCAGGATAGGAACTCAAACATGGTATAATGATCCTGGAGGCAGGAGCTGATACAGAGGCCATGGAGTGGTGCTTCAGACTGGCTTGCTTCCCATGGCTTGTTCTGATTGCATTCTTATCGAAACCAGGACCACCATATCAAGCAAGGCACCAGCCACCATAATCTGGACTCTTCCCTGTTAATCACTACTTGAGAAAATGCATTGCAGCTGGATCTCATGGAGGCTTTTCCTCAGCTTGGACTCCTTCCTCTCTGGTGATTCTACATTGTGTCAAGTTGACAAAATTCAGGACAGTACAGCTGTGTTATTTTTACAGTGATGAAAAATAAGCCTACAATTCAGAGTCTGACCAGAGAGAAAAATTAAGACAAAAGGAAACTCATCTATTGCTAATCTATAGGGATCACAAAACATGGTTCAATTATTTATCCATGAACCAGGAACATAGAGAGGCTCTAAGTATGTATAGAAGGCTGAAGTCAGATCCCATGAACTCCATCACTTAGGGGCTATAGTCGAATTTCTGAAGGGAATCCAGAACATGGTCAGAACAGATGGAGAGTCACAAACCAAACAGAGGTTCAGGGGTTGAATCTTATTTGGTGGAGTTATTTCCTAATGTACACAATGCACTGTGTTCTCTGTTCATCGCCATATGAATGGAGTCATTGTCCAGGTCAGTAATGTTAGTACTAGGAAAGTAGGAAAGGAGGAATCATTAATTCAAGATTATGTTAGGCTACATGATAAGTTCAAGGCCAGTATGAAATATGTGAGAAAATGTCTCGGAGACACCTGCCAATAAAAATGGAAATTGAAAAGCAGAGGATGAAATGAGAGAAGAAGAGACAAGAGAAGAGAAGAGAGGGGAAGAGAGAAGGGGAGGGGGAGAGGAGGGGAGGAGAGATAAGAGGAGGGAAGGTAAAGGGAGAGGAGGGGAAGGGATAACAGGGGAGAGTGGAGGAAGGGAAGAGAAAGGAGAGGAGAGGAGGAGGAGAGGGGAGAACAGGGGATGAGAAGAGGGGAGAGGAGAGGAGGGTAGAGGAGAGGAGAGGGAAGACATTAATATATGGGAGCAGAGCTACAGGGCAGGGCCTGTGACCGGGCATGTGTGGTTCAGCGAGGAAGTCATCAGAAGCTGATGCTTAAGAACAGTGTTCTTGGGCAGTTCCTCACCTGTCACCACCATCTGCAGTTTGTCATTAGTTTGTGACCATTGACCTCCCCTTGGTGTACTCACAGTAGTAAATCCCTGCACTGATGTGCGTCATATCCTGCTGACAGAATTCAAACACCTCCTGGGCTCCCTCTGGGGTATGATCAAACCATTTTCCATAAGGTTCATCATAGTAGAGATGCACTCTGGTCACTCCAGGAGGTGTCCTGCAGAAGATGCTCACATCACTGTCTGTGGAAATCACAGCTCCTGGAACTGCCCAGATGGAAGGTTGGGGTGGTAGCCCTGGAGAGACATAGGAAAAAAGCACTAGTTAACTAATGTCAGGAGAAAAAGTACCCCAAGGCGTCATAGAGTAGCTCCCACAACAATTACTAATCAAGAGAATGCCCCACAGACATGCCCATAGGCCATCATGGGGGAGGGGGATTTCTCGGCTGATGTCCCTTCATCCCAGATCACTCTCCCTTGTGTCTTGTTGAAAGAAAAGTAAACAGCTTACCTCCAAAGTGAAATCTCATCATTTTCAGAGTTAAGTTCCTGGCATATTTCCAAAGACATAATCATCTTTACTCTTCCCAAACGATGTAAGAATAACTCCCATACATTTGTGCTATCAACCAGCTCAGGAATGAAAACCCATGGGTTGCCATTCCTCACACCAAACTTTACCACTTCCTTGGCCCAATCAGCAGGAAACCCCATTAAATCACTAACCTATGTCTGACTTTGACTCTTGCTTCCATGTAAAACCTAAGCACTATCCCACCTCCAATATCACACAAAGCCTGGGAGCCTCTGAGAATAAATGAATCCCATCTGCACCACATGCACATTAGACAGTGTTTATTCACCTCTATCTCATGGAGCTTGCATCTTCCCAAGAACAGATCTCAGTAAGAGTGCCAGACAACAGCCAAGGTGAGAAGAGATGGGAGTAAAAGAAAACAAATTTGATACCAAGTGTCTGTATCCTCACGAGGGAGCATGTGTGTTCAGGTTCCTCCTTCTCAGGGTCATTTGTTTCAATATCCATCAGACACAGATATCAAGTGGGCATTACCAGCATTTGGTGGAATTCTGTATTCTTTACCACTCTGGCTAAAAAAAGACCCCTGTCTCACTTACCAAATCCAAGAAGAGCAGCTTCAAGATCCATGACAGTGCCTCATGCCAGATCTCCGCAGAAACAGCATATAGGACTGGTGGTGACCCAGTACACACAGAGGGACACACCCATGGGAATGAGCAGGCTGAGGGAAGGGATTGTGACATCCAACAAAAAAGAGGAAGAGGATGTGTTCTTGCACAAGACCTGTCTCTGTCTTCTTTCTATCCCACAGCTCTAGACAGGGCAATGATTCCTCTATGTACTTACTATTCTGGCATTAAATTCTCAATGACACTATTCAAAGGTGTAGGAGTGATGGTATTCCCTGGCATCCTCATATCTGATGTAGAAGACTTGCGACCAATGTTTCAGAGAAAACAGTGAAATGAAACCTGATAAAATGGAACAAAATTAATAATCTACTGGAACAGTTAGACTTTTCTTGATGGGACACAGACAGACACCAAATCTGACAACATGGATGGGGTGTGGCCAGTGAAGATGCTGGAAACTGGTCATTCTGTAGTATGTGGATGTTCCCAGTAAATTCCCCTGACCAAATAACCACACAGCCAAGTCCCTATACCCAACTGACCAAAACAAAACAAAAAATTGAAACAGACAGTGGAACCAAACAGAGAAAACACAGAACAAGAAACAAACATGGCCAAGAAATGCTTTAAAAAGTGTTCACCAACCCGGGCATCACAGAAATTCAAATTAAAACTAATTTGAAATTTCATTTTACTCTAGTCAGAATGGCTAACTGAGAAAATAAAAGTTGCCATGGAGAGAGGCAGGGCTGGAGACAGGACAGAGGTCACATGTGAGGGAAAGGACTGAGGTCTACACACTGCCATTGACCAGTAGGCTCAGCAGGATGCTATGCAACACTCTGGAGCTTATGCAGGCACAGACTCAGCCCCTGAACCTGCCATCCAGTCATGAGAACCCCCTGACTCTAGGCAATTAGGGAGGAATAAGATGGGGAATGGTTCACTTTCCAGATTGGACCTCCTAGAAGGTCCACCATGGTCTGAGATACCTCAGAGCCACATGTTGGTATTGGTGGTACACAATGCTGGCCCAAGACATTACAATTCCTGAGGTCCTTGCATGCATTTGCAGTCTGTGCCATTGCCCGATTGATGCCTTGGTGAGGTCCTTGGGCTTTGCTGCCTCAGGGAGCCATGCTGATGTGAGTGGCATGTGAAACCACCTTAGACCATGTTGAGCCTCATGTTCTGTGCAGACACCCGGGGTCATGGGTGTAGTTGTTAAGCAACAGTGACAAGAATGAATCACAAATACAACAGACCTGTGAAGAAGTTTATTAAGAAAGGGGGGGCAAAGATGGAGCCATGGCAGTTGACTGAGAGAGGAGATAGTGTAGATAGCATGGAGCCTGAGACCTCAATTGAATGGGCCCATTTGCACATGTGTACAGAATCTGTCATAGCCACACAATGCCTGATGTAGTGATTTATGGCCACAGGGTCTCTGAATGATAGCAGAGACATCCTGCCAGATGACAGCATAATGCCTAAATCCTAACAATGAGTGGTCAGAGCTCCTGATATGGCCAAGGGCCATGTTGATGACTGTGGCCCATATTACCACCAAAGCCCATGCAGATGCCTGTGTTGGGGCTGCCCCCGAAGCCACGTTGATTTCTCTGTGTGAGGGAGAGCTGGCCGGGTCATGCTTGGGATAGCAGGCCCCAGCAGAACTCTTCTCAGTTGATGGTTCCTCATGAGATGCTGGCAGGGATATATCCTCTTTTGGGAAGTTTGCCACTAGAAATCTGACAATGCTCCAGTGAATATATAGACAACCCAAAATGAATTTTTCTATTTCTGTTGAGGGGTGTGTTATGATAAACCTCATGCATGGGGGAACCTTGGTGAATTCAATTGTCGGAAAGGTTGACCAAGGTTGGGGACAAACAGGCCAGGCAGATGGAGCTTAAGTGAGAGGTTTTATTAGAAAGGGAAAGGGAGCAAAGGAAAGAGAAAAGAGGTAAAGAGACACAGACGCAGAGAGAGGACAGAAGAGAAGAGGGAGACAGGAAAAGTCCTGCCTTCCCCAGGGGAACAGCAGGAAAGAGACTGGGAAACAGAGAGTGGGTCTTTCTTATAAAGGGGTCCTTTGTACCTGTGTCCAGACTAGTAATCATGGAACCCTGGGATGGACAGAGAACTGTCTGAGTGCATTCAGCCAGGTGACAGGGTCAAGCCAGCACAATGCCTGAATCCTTACAGGAGGCATGCCACAAAGGAGGGGAGCAGACATAGGAAGACTGGGAGATGAGCATGAATTATCAATAAAAATGTGATTTTAAATAAGAAAACAAAAGTCATTCACTGGAACACACCAGCCTATCAAAACAATAAAACAGCCACAATATACAGCAGACAGCCCTAATATAACCCCCCAGCCATGCCTGCCAGTAAACTACAATCACTGCCCACAAAACATCTCTTTCTGTTCCCCCAGATCCAATTCTCCAGCCTCATCTTCAGCTCTATAACAACACATGTGGCAACCCAACCCCTGATTCTTCTACCTTGGGTCCCAGAGATCTTCTCCCTTCTCACCATCCTCCTTCCACTCATTCCACTTCCCCAATCCAAAAGGCACCCCATGATAATGCAAGGGCATCTCCTCCCAGAGCAACAAGAAGGCTGAAGGCAGACCCACACATCTTCTACTGCTCCTGAGATCCCATACCCCTAGTTTTATCCCAAGCCACGTGGCAGGAAATCTGCTCTGATGTCCATTTCCTTTCTGACTCCATCCATTAGGTGTCACAACAACCTTCTCTTCCAACCTAACTTCTCCAATCTCATTCCATTATCCTAGCCTTCAATAGAAGCAGCTATTCCCTGTGAAGATAACAGCAGAACAGGCAAGAAAAAGAGGCAAAACAACTTATCACACCTCCAAAATTCCAGACAGAAGATAAGCCAAGGAAAAACAACCCCGGAAAAAAAGACAAGTCTAGAAATCATGACCTAGACCTCTGAGATGCCTAGATATGGCTGTGAAATCACAATAAAAAACATCCAGGGCACTGTATCCAGCAGCACTCAGAGATCCTACCACAGGAAGGTCTAAATGTTCCAAGACAAACAACATGAAGTTGAGAGAACTCCTGAGAGAAGAACTGAATCCATTCTAAAAAGCTGAGAAAAAAATCAAATACTTTAAAGAAGCAAAATTGTTGAACACCTCAACAGGGAAATCGATTCAATAAAGTAAACTCAAAAGGAGGGAATCCAGGAAATGAAAATTTTAGTGATGAGAACAGGAACCAGAGAAGCAAACTTTACCATCAAAATACAGAAGTTGGAAGAGAAAATCTCAGGCATTGAAGATATGCAACAAGAAATGGATATATTGACCAGGTAATAATTCCACCACATGGGAGGCAGAAGCAGCCAGATCCCTATGAGCTTGAGGCAAGCCTGGTCTACAAAGCTACACAGAGAAACCCTGTCTCAAAAAATCAAAAATGATACAGCATCTGCCAACGTTGCGCTCTCAGACCTGCGCCCACTGGGAAAGGTCGATGCTGGGCCACTCCTCCCAACCTTTCCCTCTTGGAGTTCCCTGGCCTGCAGCCTGTAGACTCATCCCATCAGCAAATCGCCCACAGACACCTGGACGCAGAGCAAAGCATCCAGCATCAGCCACCATCCCTATCTTGGACCCAAACCCACCAGGAGATGGAGAGACCCAAGCTGTAACCACCAGGAGAGGGAGAGACCCATACCTTCTTCCAGAGAACCCACTGGAAGAAGGTATGGGAAGATGGCAGTGTAAGGTCACATGCAACAACAGAAAGACTATATGATACCACCGGAGTACAGGGATTCTACACCATCAAGACCTGAACATCCCAATGCAGATGAAACACAAGAGAACAACCTTTAAAGCAACTTTATGAAGATGGAAGAGTTCCCCAAAGAGGAAATGAGAAAATTATTTAAAGAAATGAAAGAAAAACAAACAAAATGGAAGAAATGGAGGAAAAGACAAACAAAGCTACATGAAATCAATAAATCCCTTCAAGAAAGCAAGGAAACTCAAGAAAAAACAATCAAACGTATGAAGGAAACAATTCAAACAGTTCAAGACCCTCAAACTGAAATAGAGACAATAAAGAAAACACGGAGGGAATTCTGGAAATCGAAAATCTGGGTAAATGATCAGGAACTACATAGGCTAGATTCACCAACAGGATACAAGAGATTAAAGAGAGAATCTCAGGTATTGAAAAGAAACATATACATTCGTCAAAGAAAATGTTAAACTTATGAAGTTCATCACGCAAAATATCCTGGAGATCTGGGACTCTATGAAAAGGCCTAAACTATAAATAATAAGAATAGAGGAAGGAGAAGAATCCCAGCTAAAAGGAACAGAAAATATTTTCTACAAAATCATAGAAGAAAATTTCCCTAAGCTAAATAAGATGTCTATAAAAGTACAATAAAATACATGACACCACTTGATTGCACCATTAAAGAAAGTCTCCTTGCCACATAATAACCAAAACACAACACATACAGAACAAAGAAGGAATATTAAAAGATACAATTGGAAAAGATCAAGAAGCATTAACAGGCAGACCTATTAGAATTATACCCAGCTTCTTAATGGAGATTCTAAAGGTCCTGGAAAAATGTCTTGCAGGTTCTAATAGATCACAGATACCATCCCAGACTACTATATCCAGAATAACTTTCAATCACCATATATGAAGAAGATAAGGTATTTTTCACAAGAAAGTGAAAATTAAGTGACGTCTGTCTGGAAATCAAGCCTTACATAAAGTGCTACCAGAGAAAATCCAACCTAAGCAGGTTAGCTACACTCATGAAAACTGAGGAAATAGGTACTCTCACATCAGAAAAACCAAAAGAAGAAAACACACACACACACACACATTTGCACACAGCACTATAGCAGGAATCAGCAATCATTGGTTATTGATATCTCTTAATGTCAAACATCTCAATTCCCCAATAAAAAGACATAGGTGAAAAACTAGGATGTATCCTTCTGCTGCATACAAGAAACACACCTTAACATCAAGGACAGACATTATCTCAAAGTAAAGTGTG